TCCTTCAAGGACAGTTGAGTTCAGTAAAAGTAGAAAGCCAGAACCTTTCTTTCTGAAAAATAATCCCTCCTAAAAATATACTCCTCTCAATTTAAGAATATCCGTCATTCAAATGATCTTCATTATCTCTTTCATAGCAGTGTTGATTATCTCACAATAGAATCCTTGAATTCTGTGCCTGAAATATGACATCAGTCCAATAGTTTTAACGTCTTAAAAAAGAGGCTTTACCTTTAAAAAGTGGACAAATTTGGTTATTTCTAATAGTGTGTAATGTTTGGGTCTCAATAAAGAGTATGAATTTCTGCCATTGCCGATATTTGCTGAAAGATCTTTCTTGAATTGAAGGCGCGAAAAATTCATTTTTCTGAAATATCTCTGAAGTATCGATGAGTTGAACTCCTTAATATTGTTATTATATCAATCACGAAGTTCTCAGAAACTTCACTGAATACAACCCTTTTGAAACTGGTAGTCAGCAGTTTCTTTCATTATATCGAATGAAATATTAGCACAAGATGTGCTTGATTTTGCATTCGATATTTCATCCAGAATGTACCAAAAAATTGAAACCTTCGATTAGTAACGATTCTTTTTTTTTCAGAAATAAAACTTGACTCTGATAGTGACATCTTGACCACTGAATTGACTGAAATGGCCGCCCTTATTTGCCAAGACCTACCCAAAGACCTAACTTTATCAGACCAAAGAGGGAGGTCGACACAGATACCGACATCAATGAAGATACTTTGACTCCTGAATTGAGGATACGTAGATCGAACGGCCGCCCTTATTTGCCAAGACCTACCCAAAGACCTAACTTCATCAGACCAAAGAGGGAAGTCGACACAGAACTTGACACCAATGAAGATACTTTGATTCCTGAGTTGAGGGTGCGTAGGTCCAATGGTCGCCCTTATTTGCCAACACCTACCCAAAGACCAAACTTCATCAGACCAAAGAGGGAAGTCGACCCAGAACTTGACATTGATGAAGATACTTTGACTCCCGAATTGAGGGTACGTAGATCCAATGGCCGCCCCTATTTGCCAAGACCTACCCAAAGACCAAACTTCATCAGACCAAAGAGGGAAGTCGACCCAGAACTTGACATTGATGAAGATACTTTGACTCCCGAATTGAGGGTACGTAGATCCAATGGCCGCCCTTATCTGCCAAGACCTACCCAAAGACCTAACTTCACCAGACCAAAGAGGGAAGTCGACACAGAACTTGACATCAATGAAGATACTTTGACTCCTGAATTGAGGGTGCGTAGATCCAACGGCCGCCCTTATTTGCCAAGACCTACTCAAAGACCAAACTTCAATAGACCAAAGAGAGAAGTCGACACAGAACTTGACACCAATGAAGATACTTTGACTCCTGAATTGAGGATACGTAGATCCAATGGCCGCCCTTATCTGCCAAGACCTACCCAAAGACCTAACTTCATCAGACCCAAGAGGAAAGTCGATACAGAACTTGACACCAATGAAGATACTTTGATTCCTGAGTTGAGGGTGCGTAGATCCAATGGTCGCCCTTATTTGCCAAGACCTACCCAAAGACCAAACTTCATCAGACCAAAGAGGGAAGTCGACTCAGAACTTGACATTGATGAAGATACTTTGACTCCCGAATTGAGGGTACGTAGATCCAATGGCCGCCCCTATTTGCCAAGACCTACCCAAAGACCAAACTTCATCAGACCAAAGAGGGAAGTCGACACAGAACTTGACACCAATGAAGATATTTTAACTCCTGAATTGAGGATACGTAGGTCCAATGGTCGCCCTTATCTGCCTAGACCTACCCAAAGACTTAACTTCATCAGACCAAAGAGGGAAGTCGACACAGAACTTGACACCAATGAAGATACTTTGACTCCTGAATTGAGGATACGTAGGTCCAATGGCCGCCCTTATTTGCCAAGACCTACCCAAAGACCAAACTAGAACAGGAAAAAGAGAAATTGACTAAGTACATGACATTGGGAAAAGTGATTCGAATCACAAGTGATGTGGTATCTCTCGATTAGAAGTTGAGACAAATTCGGACTGGAATATTGCTTTTCTTATTATATAACATAACACTTCATTAGATAAGGATGTGATTAGTTCTAGCTTCATGATTTCCTGTTAGTTTCATGTAAATATTATATTCTGTTAACCAAAACTTTGATCGTTTTTAATTTGACGAGCTATCTCAGGATAGTTGGTTGGATGAAAATCAAAATCCAACCTCTTAACACATATTCTCAAATTGGGTTCATATCGGATCCACTATTAATTATTAAGAGCAAAAGTTTACCCAGTAAAAAACAAACGCCTTCAATGGTGAATTCGGGAACTGCGATGAATGATCTTTCAAAAAATATAGAAAACAAATTCATGAAAATTTGGAAGTATAACATTGCGGTGAAGGCTATCCATTACAGATTAATATTCTGAATCCATAACCTTCCTATTATTTATTTTGAATTACTTGCAATACCAAACCGTTTTATACCATAGATACCTCTTCGAGGTACCTGCATCTTGATTGTTTTAAATAAATGTCACATTGTTGCCTAATACACCAGTTTCGAATTAATTTCACAATGTTGCCTCATTCAACAGTCAGATAAATCTGTTGAGTGAAATATTATTTCAACAAGCTATATATACTATATAGTATACAAGCTATATCAGTCCGGGAGATAGTGTCACTTCAATAAAAGTCATTTTATGCACAATGCAATTCACTCATTAAAGTTGTTTCCATATACCTGAATACTAAACCGACCGTCAGACTCTCCAGTAGCGGTGGGTGAAGTCGGAGTAAGCTGCAGAAGATAACCAGTAATTTAAAAAAAAGTGATTTCATGCACTCCATTATTTTTACAGTTCATTATTCTCAAGGTATATTCGACTAAAAAAATCGTCAGACCTTGATCTGCGGGTGGATTGTTCGTTAGTCACGCGTAATAACAGAATGAAATTTTAAGTTGACAGTTTGTAGCATGAGAAGTACAAAAATAATCGTCAGACGTTATGGAAATAGTGGAAAACCCGTCAGTCGAGCAATCGAAGTGGATCTCAGCTCTTGGAAAGAATCAAGCGCGCGGCATCTTTTGCGGTGCAACTGATGGTGCAACGAAAAATGATTCTTATCATAATAGGCTTTGACTTTGATGTTTCTAAATTTGATTTTCAATTTGTTACACACAATGACATTTTGTTATTGTACAAGTTATTGAATTTTTTGCGAAAAATGGCTTTCACGACTAAAGAAAAAAGAGATATGATAAAAATGTATTACAAATACGATAGAAACAGTGTTAAGACATCGGAAATGTATTCAAACTCAATGTAGATCAAACTATTTGATCTTCCTCTAGAAGATGATCACTTGGTGTTAAAATAACGTTTTAGTGTTGGGAAAAAACTCCAGTAATATTCATCCATGGAAAGATGAAATTGAAATTTGTCATTTATTTCATTTTGTAATTAGGTATACTCATTTGATTTACTTTCGAGAGTTTTAGTTTTGTTTTGTTGTATATTTTACAAAGTGAAGAGAACAATAGTCTCGATATCTGCACAGAAATTTTAGTTTTCATTATCAAAAACGAATCACTCCTTATCCAAATAGCTTGATTTCGTTAACATTCGATGTCCATACAAACGTTTGGAGAGATAACACGATTTCTCCGAAACATAACACCCAGCTGACCTCAATCGAACACGTTTCTTGCATTTTAATGTATATGGTACTTTACCCGATGCCAAGGAAACAAAAAACCCCTCACTGAGAGCATTTATTGATACTATCTAGCAATCCATTTTTGGCATAGTTCGTTATTATTCTGCTGTTTGTATCAAGTTGCAAAAATCAAGCCGACATGGAAATTTCAATAGTAATTCTTGCTTTCTTCGGCAGTTGCATATCAAGTACTAGTACGCAGTTGCTGGAGAACAAATAAAACGGTATAGAAAGGTTTTTATAAAATTACTTATACGAAATTTGCCCAATCCTACTCAAAGATCAAAATAACAGAGGAAAGAGGAAATTCAACTCAAAAGTTGACATCAATGTCGATACTTTGATTCTTAAGTTGAGGGTGTATAGATCCAATGATCGCATTTATTTTGCCAAGACCTACCCAAAGAACAAACTTCATTGGAATGAAGATGTTAGTCGACACAGAGTCTGATACTGACAATGAATCCTTGACACCTAGATTGAGAGTGCAAAGATTTGATGGTCGTCCTCATTTGTCAACACCTACTCAAATACCGAAATAACAGAGGAAAGAGGAGAATCGACTCAAAAGTTGACACTAATGTAGACACTTTGATTCTTGAGTTGGGGTTGTGTAGATCCAATGGTCAACCTCACTTGCCAAGACCTACCCAAAAACGAATCTTCATCAGGGTAAAGAGAGAAGTCGATCCATAACTTGATGATAACAATGATTCCTTAATTCAGAGCTCGAGATCTAATGATTGTTCTTATTTGCCAAGGCATACTCGAAAACCAAATTGCAATAATGGAAAGTGATAATCTAACATTGTGATTCACAACTTTCTGCATCTAGTATCTACATAAACAGATAATACAAAGAAATACAAAGATAATACTAATGTATACTATCATCCAACCACTACTTGATAATACTTCCTGCTTCAAAATTTATTTTTCTAAATTCCAGCGTTTGTCTGACATTTCCATGTGTCCATGTTCTAGTGTCTAGTGCATTCAATACTTCTATTTGTTCCAAAACTATTCACAATCGTAATCCCCATTTTAAGAGTCTGGGAAGTTATATAGCCGTAGATAACGCTATTCTGACTGCAATTCTTCACTTTCTTGGGTAACTATTCATTATTCATTTTAGCTGTGGGTCCATAAACTTTTCAACCGGTCGATGATTTCCGCTGATTTTGCCCAAAAATTAATGAACGGTTTCCAACAAGAACTTTTATTTGACAAATACTAAATATTCAATTCTGCAACTATTTTTCAACATGTGTGATTCAGTAATCCATATTTTATCTCACCAACAGTGGGATGTGGAAAAAAATTGTCAACATAGTCATTCAAAACGTTCAACGTTAGGAACCAGCTTAACTCATATTGGTGAACAGTGTGTAAGAAGCATATGCCATTCGCCACATCTGAAAAATTAAATGTACATAAGTTTCCTCTAAACACAGTTACAAGAAAATCATCAAATGATGAACCTGAAACTTTGCATTTTTGGAAGTGTTCATAAAATTCATGATATAATAAATATTTCATAAGTTCGGACTTCCATTGTCTAATATGATATTTACTTCGCGACGTTTTGTTTGTTAATATCCACAATCGCCTTCGGGTGATTACCTTCAAAATCTAACTATTTATAGGTCATTCGACTGCTTTCACCTATCACCTCTTCCCTCTCTCCACTTCATTCGTTTTTAGCGGGGGCTGACCATTTGGCGGGAGTTGGTCATGTTCTGCGTGATGAGAGGTTTTCATATGTTACGTATCTCTACGATAGCTTGGCTAAATACGTTGTTAGACAACATATATACGGCTTCTTTGAATTTTCTCCTAAACCAGTGTTCCTCCTTGATTTCAGCCTGAGCCCACTTGATGTTATGTTGATGAGTCCAAACATGCTCTGCTATTCCAGATTTGCTGGTTTCTCCTTGCTGTATGTGTTTTTTGTGCTCGGCAATGCGAACATTCAATGGCTTTTTAGTTTCACCGATGTATGATTCTCCGCACTCACAGGGTATCCGGTAAACAATTCTTGGAATCGCAGTTCGCGTTTGGTGGCCTGGTTTTCGTGAGACTGCTACGGATATTGTTGCCAGATCTGAAACAGGTTCTGATGTTATACTTGGACCCAATCCTTCTTATCCTTTTCGACAATCCTCTGATGTAGGGAAGTACAAGTACTGGTTGTGGCGGCTTCTATTCCTTGTGGAGCTCTTGCTGTCTTCTAGCTAAAGCCTGTTCCACCATCACTTTGAAGTAACCATTCCATTGAAGATCATTTCTGATGATGCCTAGTTTCGTTTCAAGACCTTCGTTTGTATTGCAGAGCCTAAAAGCACGGTCTAGTAGAGTCTTGATGATTCCTCTCTTAATCGATTGATGGTGGTTGGATTCTTGGTTCAGATAATGTACCGTGTAATTTTTTACAGATTCTTTCAAAGATTCCAAATCAAATTATCATATTAGACAACGGAAGTTCGAACTGATGGAATGCACCACGTGACATTGTCAACTACTTTCAAACAAACAATATTATAAATAATTGGATATCAAAAAATCAGGTTATTTGTATCAGTACTGTAGCTGCATACGAGTACAATAACTTATGCGAATACCTTTTTAGGGAGCCGAAGAGATTTTCCTGCACATATGTTCAGTGGGCATACTTGAAGACTGGCTGTAAATCGCTTCAGCTTGGTTAGATGAATGATACTCTGACATGAACCCGATTTTGAATTATGGAATATCATCAACTTATGGTTAATGATGGCCACTACCTTGCACTGTCAAGAGGCTAAATAGCCCGAAACCGGTGTACAAGTGTGCCCGTTTCTATAATCGAAAATCGATTCCAGTAGTTGAATCGCCAACAGCATATGCAGGAAATACTTTTGTGAAGATTCCTGCACTGACGCCTGTTGGATATACTCCAACGTCTTTCGTGGTAGTAGCCAGGGAATAGTTGTTTCCTGATAGGTGTTAGTCCATTAACCTAAATTGTAGGTGAGTGGAGACTGGCCTGAAGAAGTTGTTCTTTTAGTTAATTCAATTTAAGATTTTCTTTTTTACTGAACAACTAATTATGAGTCATCTATATCAGTTTGAAAGTGTCTCCCTTTTGCTTCCGTGGCCAAAAAGTTTTTAGTTCAAGTGGCCTTTACTGCATTACTATATTATATATTGTCCTGTCAATGGATTCTTCTGTTGGGCAATAAATTTTGTTTTTCTTCCTTTCTTTTTTTTCTCATTATTCAACACACTCCTTCAACATACTAGAACTGCAACACTCTTTTTGAATTGGATTTTCCAGGGAGATGAATAGCTAAACTAACTAGAAGCTACCAGTTTATCATCCTGACAATGCCTACCTAATTGGTGAAATTGTCGTCGAAAAAAATGGTGCAGTTCTAGTGTGTGAAAGCATTGTTTGTGTTGGAATCATTTCAAGTCAAGGTTCTTTTCTGAAAAGTAGCGCTTTTCCCAATCACCAGAAATGCGATACCCTTCTGGACGCGCTCAATAATATGATCTGTTGTGGGATGCTAAGAGGTTGATTGCTGTGAGATTTTTTTGCAAAAAAATATTTTCTGCGTCGAAAAAATTGATAAAATGTGAAAAAATTATGTGCCATAAAGATATATTTCGTTACCTTGACTGCCAGTGGATAATTTGCATCCAGAACGTTATAGCAAGAAATGGTGACAGGATTTATCGTGTTCGAAAGAAGCATCAAAAGTATTCGTCTGTTAGAATTGTTGAACTGTTCCCACGGGCATCTGTAGTCGTTAAGAAAAACCTTTTCTGACTGCAATTGAAGATGAAGTCGTATCAGATAACGTACCAAAACAAAGCCTGAACTACTATATTTGACGTAAGTTAGGTAGACTCTTTCAAAATTGGTTCTCTCCAAGGCGTTTATTCATCCTTCGAAGCTTGATACCAAACAGTTATTGGACTACAGTGGGGATGAACTACGATGTCCAACAGGCCTGTGGTCACTGTCATTTGAATCATCACTGTCAGAAGACAGTGTGTGTCGCATATGTTTGGGAAATGATGAAACAGCAGAGCTCATACTGTGTGCCTGCCCCGCTGGGAATCGAATCAGGTTTTGAGATTGACAGAGCCATACTCTTACCATCTGAGCTGAAAGGCCACTCACCATACAAACTAAACGATGCGATATGTATGTGTGTATGAGGGAGAGGGCGATGACGTCAGTGTGGAGTAGAGAAAAATCGAAATTTGTGGCATGTCAAAAGGACATTAAGCCGTATCTTCGCTAATAATAGTCGCATTGTCACGTGCAATACATCAAATGAAACGAGAAGGAATCATGAAATCATTGATGAAGAAAAATCAAAGATGGTGACATGCTAAAAGGGCACTGGGTCATATCTCGATTAATAATAGTTGGATCGTGACATGTAGCACATTGAATGAAAGAGGAGAATGTCGAGAAGACGACAGTAATGGTATTGCAACAGTTGACGTATGTAAGTGAGAGAAGAACGGCAATGTGCGTATATATGAGTGAGAAAGAGATTACGTCAGTGAGCGATAGATTAAAAACAAACATGGCGGCTCATTTAAAAATTGTTGAATCGTAAGAGATGCTTGGGATGAGAAAGGTAAGAGATGTTTCACAGTCTCGATATGAAATGACTCTTTCAGGGGCGCTTTCAACTGAAATGTACAGTATATGAGATTAAAAGTGTATACGGCCATATTATTGCTGGGTTTTGCTTCATTTGAGTTGAATTCAGCTGTTGCATACTGAATACATACATTTGTATGTATTCAGATTGAGTTTCAGATAAAAAAAAATTAATATAGGCGTCGGAAAAGTTGACATTGCTTTGAAATTTGGTATTGCTTACAATGAAAATATGTATAAAATTAATTTTTTCCATCTTTTATTTCACTACATGTTACTTCGCCTGTATTTCTGATTGAAATAATGATCATGAAAAAGCTTTGAGGTCAACTTAGTCCTACGATATGAGTACCTATTGGATCATACAATTTTTCGTTATTTACCATAAATACGTTGAACTCTTCCCAGGTGAAACTTTTCACATACCCATTCCTATTTGGTCATATGTCCATATCTTTTTAATTTTGTTTTAAGTATGAGATTTCCCCTATTCTTCAACTGGAAGTATATAGGTTCCAAAAAATTCACATTCTGAATATATAACTTCATATTCAAAAAATTCCAGTTGAAACTTACCTCATTTGTCATTCGTTGACAATATTCACAGAAGGCCCAGAGTATAAAACAACCGGTCATCAATAAAGTATATATTCTGAAGTTACTTCTGGGGCTCATACCCTACAAGAAAAATATTTTCACATGAAAAATTTCGACTACTCAGTGGTATATGTTATTCTAGAAAAACAGCAAGTCCAAATAATTGGTGAGATGGTAGTAAATTCTAAACAGTCTACTTATTGCATCGCGAATGTTTGTAAGGTGTCTTCTTCTAATGTGCGGAGATTTTTGAAGAGGAATAGGTATCATCTTCACAAAATTAAAATGGTACACCAATTAACTGAAGAAGACCCTGATTGAAAAACAGAATTTTGCAAAATCATGACGGAGACCATTGCAAGACATCCTACATATCTCCACAATATTTGTTTTAGTAAACGGCAATATTCACAGATAAAATTGCCGTGATTGGAGTGACATCAACCCTCACGTTTTCCGGGAAACACATACCCAATATCCAGAAAGACTCAAAACCATTGTAAGACCTCTATTGTAGGACCTCTATTTATTGATCAAAATTTAACAGGGGAACTGTATTTGAATATGCTGTAAACAACTGCTGACCCTCTCATCACTGAAATCGTCGAAGCGAATCCTAATGAATTCAATGAGGATATTGTGTTCCAACAAGAAGGAGCACCACCACATTACTCCAGACAAGTAAGAAACTATTTGGATACTACCTTTTCCGGTCGATGGATTGGCCGTCGATGTCCTACAGAATGGCCAGAATAACATCACCACGTAGGCAGCTATAGCTACCTGTGTGACTTCCGAGTGCAGGATATAAATAAATGATGCCTGAGAATGCTAGGTCTTCTAATTCCGTTTTTGCAATTGGCTACACCGCGCTGATGAGGCCAATAGCCAGAAACACGTGTCCGTGGTTTGACTCCATTTTTTGAGTGTTCTGCCTCTGAGCTGCCTCTCCTGCCTCTGTAATTGTACCTGTATTGTCATTTGTCGAGTTTTGCTTCTGGGGTTGAGCGGTCTGATTGCTTGTGCGAAGCGACATATATATATATATA